GAAGCAATATCAGTTTGAGTTGATCCGGTTCATTGCCACGATGATCTCTTGCGGCTAATCTTCTGCTCCAAATGAGCAGAGAGCTTTAAACGCCAACCTCTTTTTGTAACCATCGGGCGAATTTGTGTGTGTGTCTGTAAAGTATTTGGTCTACCGGCACCGGTCGTACGCGGGAGACAAACAGTTTGTTTGAAATCGACATGAGCGGTGATTGGTGATTGGGCCCATTCTTTTGTCCTCAACCAGCGCCCAGCTCGTCATAGGTCCCATCCACCATTGGCCGAAATTAGCGTCGCGACCTGGAGCCAGGGCATCCGGCGATTGGTCTTCTGGCTCATTTCAGTAGCCGCCAAATTTGACCATTCCTTCGAGCCTCACGGGCACACCATCACGACGCGGAATCGAACTCAAAGAGTCAAGTGCCCTCCATTCTCACCTCCTCCCATTTGGCAACCTTCCACGTTGGCTGCTCATCGTTGTTCAACCGAGTTGACGGTCTACGGCGCCTCAGAGACACTTCTTTCGAGACAGAGCAGGCAAGAGAGTGAACGAGTGAGATGAACAGAGAGAGAGAGAGAGAGAGGAGCGAAACGTCATCACTCATCTGCCAGCACCGACGGATAGGATGAGCAACACGCATTCCGACCTGAAAGTGGGCTCGGTGTGAATAGCGTGTGGCATTCGCTCTTTTCACGCCGCCCCGAAAGTGCCCAGTTTCCGTGTTGCTCGGGGCAAGGTGCTCGGGGCCAAATCGAAACCGCCCTTTTCACGTCTTCCTTCAACGTCGAGATGCGTTGAGCAAGTCGAGAGAAACGGGCCTACATGTGCTGGTGAATGCCTGGCCAGTTGGCACAGCAACGAGCTCATTACGATGGTCAGGTTGTTACGAGTGGAACAAGTGAAAAGGAGTAGCATCCAAATGAATGTCAAACGCATTCGTCACTTACGCACCATTTTATAGTTTGTACCGTCAGTCTTGGGCCCGCCGGCTGAATACAACAGCAACAGATACTCGTCCACATTCGGAGGGCCAGAGAAGTCCGCGAACACAAGGCGGCGATTCCCCTTTCCAGAATCTATGGCAATAAAATGGCATCAAGCAATACAATGTTTGGCAAGCATCAAATCACAAGTTTGGGCATAAAAATGCCCGACTCTGGTCGCCACTGGGCCTAAACCATCGCTAGTCTTCTCCGACACGGAGTTGACAGCATTAAAGAGATTACGACTCATTCAAAGCTGTGCAAGACAAGAATATGCATACTTGAGGATTGTTAATACAACTACAGAAACAACATCCACCACTATTACGACTAATACCACCACTACTATTATTACTACTATTAAACACTATTAAATAATAATAATTGTTAATACTACTCAGTTGATATAAATAATAATAATAATAATAATAATAATAATAATAATAATAATAATAATAATAATAATAATAATAA